GGGGATTATAAACTATCTGGCAGTCTCTTACCTTCTTTCCATTCATTCAAGTTGACAATTTTTAGGTTGAAACAGTCTGTCAAATCATTGGACACACTCCTTTCCAGGAAGACATTCGGTGTGATAAGCCCAATCCCATCTGAGTTGTCGCATATTACTCTTGCTAGGGTTGCATTTCGAATCGCATTCAACTGAGCCATTGTAAATCCAGTGTAGGAATCATTCCTCTCGTACCAGAAGCGATCTCCCTCACGAAGGTTTTTAAACCCTTTAACAAGAATGCAAGTAAAGGTAGCACCCATTGTGCTTCCTGGCAAAGGACTTTCGCTTAAACCTCCAACAAACAAGTCGACGTCGTTGACATTATCGTTGTATGCCACGCGGATCCTCTCTCGCTGAGCCGCGTTTATGTTCGTGAAGTTGTCAATGGACGCTGCGAGACTCAAGCCGCAGATCTTTCGGAACTGGTTGTATGGCGGCAAACCATGATCACGACCACGTTGGATGTTGATAGCTGAGAGATCACCCACGATCCCATGGACTGGTGGTCCAGGTGTCACCAGGTTCTCTCGTACGGCTGGTGCAAAGAATCTAAAGTGTGATCAATTTATGAGTAGCATGTGTGTTAATATAATCGTTGCCGTTGTTGTTATTGCCGTGGTTGTCGAGGATACTGTCAACGTCATCGTTATCGCCATCGTTATTTTCTTCGTCATTATTATCACATTTGAAACAGTCGCTGTTCCCTTGTAATATGCCCCCGAGGAGAATCCCATATAAAAAGGACGGGGATGCTCGCAATACCTTTTAGGGGTTAAAAAAACGGTCTTTGTCAGCTCTGAAGATGTTCAGCCCCAAAAGGTCCACCGCGGTAATATGACAGGAGATAATGTGTTGATTTAGAATTGGCACCTCTTAAGGGTGAAAACAATTTCAAGCCACGACCACAAAACAGGAGTTGGTAACCCTGAGAGGTTCTTTCCAAAATTTCCCACGTGCACCCGGTCATTTTCATTTGGGAGTCTCCTCCCTGGGTTGGCCCTTCGTTTCCCTCATTTTCAAAACTAAGGATGATCTCGCGGACAACTCGCTACGGACTATCCTCCATCCTCCCGACAGGGAAATTTAAATCACTTGGGTCTTCATATGTAGGATGTAATAGCTGTGACTACATTAATAACCTACCTGTCTACGTTTAGAGATGCTTGAGCCACCAATCCCAACAAGATTCCACTGATACCATTCTTGCTCAATGAATACAGAGGTGACGGGTCAAAAAATGTTTTCATTGGAATAAAACCTTGTTGTCTAAACTGCCCGTCAAACTGTCCAAATTCATCCCTGATCATAGAGTGACCCATTCGAAAAGCCGCCGTTGCGAAGGCGTTTATGATCTCTGGATTGACTTTTGGATCATAACCGTTAAAGTAGTTTCCTGATGGTTCCAGAAGAATATTTTCACGTTTTTGCTGAAAGATAGAGAGTAAAGTTATGCGGGGCCTTCGACCTATGCATTGTTTGCAAATGCAAAGTCGCGTTGCAGTTGAGGCTAGCCATAAGCACAGCAATCCTCCGTAGGAAAAAAGATGGCGACATTTACCCAAAACCTGACGTGAACTGCAACGCTCTTAAAAATGTACAGAAATATTCCAATACCTTCAAAACCTTCATTGTTTAAAATGTAATTTCTGACGATCGAGGGACGAATTAGTCAGAAATTATTATTCTGACGGTACGACGGAGAGGCTTGCGGGTTTTCGTGGGACGTTTAGGGACTATTAAGACATTTGGCGGGAGATTTGGGTCATTCTAGGTTAGTCAGTCCACTTTTTTAGTCACCTTTTTGTTATAACAGCGCGTATGTATAATATTATAAAATGTTAAACCTTATTGATTTTATACCCTTTTCTCGGGGTCGCGAGCTACTGCATTAGGTGAAGAATCCATTTGCAGATTACGTATACAGATGTAGATGTAGAGGTAGATGAAGATACTGTTTCCACATATTTTTTGGCCACATCTAAAGGGTAGTTTTTTAGCGATGTTTTGTATCTGGCATAGCACAGGTTCTAATTGTTAGAACCTATAGTGGTAATTTGTAAGGATGCAGATTATGTTGTAAGACGGAATACATCTACATCAAATGATTGACTGACGCATCCTCAATAAACTATTCGCATTGAATCGATGTCTCGTGTTAGTGTAGTTAGAAGTATGGCTTATCTTGTGCCTAATGGGCTGGTTGAGTCTTTAAAAATCCTATAAATGCAACTGTTACTGCAGTGTACCCTTTCCCCCGTCCTTCTCTAAAACGAAATATTAGATTTATTAAATGCTTACCAAGTCTTCACTGAAGAAGACAGGAAGCCACTCGCTGAACGTGATGTGTTGTAGCTCAGCAATGACGATTTTGCGCGCCTCTTGGAAGAGTCTTTCATCGAGCCACGATGGATTGAGCACATGAAGGTACTTGGCGATGCGATTGTGTTCCCGGACCCAAACAATGTGCGTGGCCATCAACGCTAGCGACAAAATGGAAAAAATTATTATACTTTCAATTGTTCCACACCTGTGACTAGCTGGACAACACCTAGTCACCTGTAATAATTAAATATCCTCGTTATATTTTGAGAGCCATTAAAAAATAGTACTAAAACAATTTAACAAATCGAATGTGGTTTAGCGTGGTCTGTACTCTTATCGACAACGAGTACGCGTCATCACAGTGGTGAAAAGTTGTTCTGGACTCACTCGACTGCGCCTCCTGAGTTTACCACATTTTGACCACTGTGTGACGCGTACTCGGTGTCGATAAGAGTACAAACCGCGCTAAACCACATTCGATTTGTTTTTTTACCACAATATCAAAGATAACGAAAGATATCTTTGTCAAGATTTATTGACAATTGAAAACACCGACTCGGACTTGAAAGTGCACGCGCTGCACTATGCAAATGAGCTACTGGTACCTGTCAGACTTTCCTTTCAAAAACGTTTGCAAACTTGGTCAACATGCAGAAACAATAAGAAAAAATGCTTAGGAAAAGAGTAATGGCGCGTACTCTTTGTCGATAGGAGTACAGACCACGCTAAACCACATTTCGATTTGTTTTTTACCACAACATCAACATCAAAGAAAATGTTTTTTTCAGAGCGCGAGCTGAAAAAGGCATTGCACGACACATTGACGCGAGCAGCGTGGTATGGACTCTTAGCGACAACGGCAAATTAGCCAATCAGACTGCGAGATTAGCAGCAATTGTGGTAAAAATAATTTATGTTCTCAGGCATAAATATGTTTTGGGCCCGAGTCAGACTCATTTTAGACTGGCCCAAGCCGCTAAGCGAGGGATAAAATTAAATGAGCTCTGAGAAGGGCCCAAAACATAATTACGCTCAAAAACATAAACTGTATTGCAGCTATTATTATCACATTAGAGGTGCATTGAGAAAATAAGAACTGAAAAAAATAATGACAACGGAGCAGTCCGAACAATCACTCGAGATTCAACAAGTTGAACTACTTTTATTTTCCCTCAAGGAAAGCACAGTGGAAATACACAATAAATCAAGCGAAGATGGCTAAACATTACAAAATCTTGCCAATTGAGTTGTCAAAAATTGTAAGAGGCACGAAAGGAAAGTTCGATCAAGTTTATTGGTAAGTGTTAAAATGTCAGCGGGCTGAAAGCCAAATTCTCCATTTTAGCCCGTCAAATGCGCCTCAATGCCCGACAAAGTGATAATAATCTTGATTCTACATGCTGTTTGGTTTCACGCTATACTTCGTACGGGTATTTGTAAAGCTGTTTACGTAAACGATTTACCTGGATTTTCGTTTGTTCTACTTTCGCCGCCACGGAAACAAGGTTTCATCGTGGAGTTAGGAGATCTGCAGAAAGTTTCCGGCCCGGCCTTTGGCAGGATGGGGGATTCGGCGGAGCTGGAAGGGAACGGGACAACCCGTAGCAGCCCGAGATTAGCCCTCCGGTCACGAAGGAGTTCTGCCTCTTTACAATTGGTCCCGTAAATTTGCGACCCGTCAATAAAAGCTGAGACAACGTTTACCTGCAAATCAGTGGTAGACAATTTGACGTCTTAAAGTCAAGCAAATTTGTTAACAAGTTGTGAAGAAGATTTTATTCATAGCCATGTGACTCAATAGAAAAGAATTATAACACGTTGCAAGAGTGCTAGTTATGTAACGCTTTCTCGTGGTATACCATGGGGTACCTCACGGATCATTTGTATTTTTTCGGTATATGCACGAGCCTTTGACTACCATACCGTGCAAGAAAAAATATCTTGACCAATTAATGTCCAGTCAAATGACCAAACGTGGAGGCGCGGTGGCCTCATGGTTAGTGCGCTCTACTCCGGATCGAGCGGTGCGGGTTCGACCCCTGATCGGGGACATGGTGTTGTGTTCTTGGGCAAGACACTTAACTCACACAGTGCTTCTCTCCACCCAGGTGTACGAATGGGTGCCGGCTAATTTAATGCTTGGGGTAACCCTGCGATGGACTAGCATTCCATACAAAGGGAAGTAGAAATATTACTAGTCGCTTCATGCTACAGAAAACGGGATAAGCTCTGACCTGATGGGCCACTTGGCTCGTATGCATACTTTACCTTTACCACCTAGACAAAACAAGCTTGGTCAATAACCGATCTGTACCTTACCTGTTCACCGTTTTTAATTGCTGATCGACGAAGTGGTATGCACACAGCACTTCGATTATCTCTCAATTCATTCCCCTGAAGAATGTCGATACCGATGCATCCCTCTTCAGGCCCCCGACATGGAAGGCTGTTATTTCCACACTCAGCAGACTCGTTTAGCTGCGTTAAAGTGATGTCATGATCCAGGAACTGCCCCCATATCATGGTCATGTGGGTGAAGTTCGCCGTTGCGTTATCATCGTTGCCCGTGGAGTTCGCAAACACCATCTTACTGACGTTTCGCGCGTTCGGAAGTGGCTGGTTGTTCGATCCCAGACTACGCGGCGCCTGTTTTCCGTCCTGATAGGCAGGTGGTAGTAGACGTGAAAACGGCCTCTGGGCACTCCCTCTTGTGACGTTGCACAAGTTGTTGCACGAGCCGTCAAACGTGCGATATCGACGAATGAAGCAGCTTAGCTGAATGTCCAGCGTCACCGGCTCACAAGGTCCTGTTATCATCGACTCGAGAACACTTCGAGTGAATGATGTCCCACTGAGCGAAGGGTAACCCAACGTACATGTGACTGTCAGGAAGATGAACCACCGCAGAACCCTGTGTTTTGAATTAATTAAAGCTCAATAAGCAGGAGAACCAAAATCTCGGAGCTATTTCTCAAGTTATAAGTTATACTTTGTGATGCGACTTACAAAATTGTGAATTCTCAAATTGAGGGTACCTCAAAATAAGGATTTTCTCTTGGATAAAGCAAAACACCAAAGAGCTAGGATCAATTAAACCAAAACTGAAGAAGTATGGTCAAGAACCTAAAGAAAAATGGACTAATTCGTAAAACTATTTCTCTCGCTAATACTTCGACATTTTTATATTGCCAAGGGTCTTCACTTGACAACTCCTTCTTGTTACCATGGCAGCCTTTCTCATTACTTACCCTTAAGAAAGTTATGTGCTTGAAGCAGTTTTAGCGCCGTCTGTTTTAGTAATAAAAGAAGATTTTTTTTTCCTCTACTTACCATTGCTCATGCATTTTTTTTAGTTCACCAGTGTTCGAGTTACACCTGTTTGGAAAATTAAAAGAAAACAAAAACAAAAAATCAGTAAACCTCACAGAGATTTGACTGAAAAAGAAACTAATATAAGCGATTTGAAGAGGTTAAATTTCATCATCGTATATCACTAGGACTCTTTTATTTTGGAATGGATTTCTTCTGAAAAAGGATTTACTATTAAAACTATTCTTAACTGTTTTTCAACATGGGACTTGTACACAACGAACATTTGAAATCATCTTCAACATTGAAGAACGCGTGCACAGTCACCTTTCACCAGCCTTCAACGTCATGTAGTATTACACTATTGAGTCAGTCCATGACACTTGCAAAACATTACGTTCATACCGTACAGAGACAGGGAAGGGAAACTTGTCAACCAGCTAATAGAAGCTGTCGGAAAAGAAGTTTGTTTAGTGATGACCATGGGGGTATAATGTTGGTGCTTCTACATCAACTCATGCATGGACGCTATATGGGCCTGATACCGATCAATATATTAAATTGGGCTCTCAGCTCAATCTCCGCGATCAATATTCAACTAAAAGACCTTTTGTAGTTCTTTTTATTATGTCACTGAGTCCTATTGTTTCCAGAAAAAGTCTTCTTGGAAACAAAACAAGCATATATCGGTTCTACATTACGACTAAATGAGCTGCGATAACGACAAGAAAAAAAATTAAACTCCCCATAATTTGAAGATGGTTTCATTTGATTAAAAGGCTAAAATGTTATTTCTAATTAGGAATGTCTTTAAGTGGTTTTTGAATTTTAAATATTAATTTTACAAAGGAAGGGAGACGAAAAATGAGAAAAATTGCATCGGTAAGCATTGGTTTTTACGTTATAGTTTCGGGGTCTAGCGTTGGTGCTCTTAGCTAGCTATAGAGGAAACTTTATAGCAAACGCAGTGTGTATGCATTTCATGAAGAAAAAATTACGATTACTTGTTCTCAATTCATAAAAACGTCTTTTAATCCCTCAGTGAACATTTATGGTACGCAAAATCGCTCAGGCGTAAATCAATAACTTGTTACATGTTGTATATTTCGTTGATCATCATTCATTTTGATAAAAGCCTGACTTTCTCTATGACACGAAACTATTCGCCATCGCATTTTTGACCACTTTAAACAAGCCAGTATTAATACCTCTACCCCTAACGCAAGCACCACGAAGCAAATTGGAACCTATGAATTACTTTAAGTTTTAAGTACGAGGATCAATGCTCAATTGAACAAATATGGACATGAGTGACGTTTTCGAGAAAAAAAATATATCAGTTTCAATTGGTGTGCAATACTCACATAAACGGTGTATTTTATCAGACAAAAATTCCCTTTCCAAAGATGCAATCAATTAGGATTCAAGGTGAAAAACACCACAGTCAGCTTCTGTGAAAACGGAGCCCATCTCGACCGCGCCTTGTTTTCCATCGATAACCGATAGGAGATGCAAAATTCTGTAATAACAGGAAATATTTTCAGTAGATGTTTTACTTCTTGGCAATATTGGTCAGGACTTTTAACACGTGCAAGCCCGTATGTTTTATATCAGTTCGTCTGTTTTGAAGCAGCATATATTGTGGTTTAGTCCAATTTTTAAAAAAAACTGTCAATTGTTGTCATTAGATAGCAACTGACCAAATTGTCTTTTGAATTTTTTTTTAGGAGTTTATATATTGCATTCGAATGAGTTAAGTCGCATTTCAAAATAAATGGTCAATTGCTATCATTAGATAGCAATTGACCAAATTATCTTTCACTATCTGAGCACATTCGAGTCGAGAGACTCTCTTCTCTCTCACTTCCCGAAGCCTCTATCTTCATCTATGTGTTGGTTCTTCAAAATTTTTCCATTTTTTGTCGCGATCACCTTTGGCGCCAAATTTCCCGGCTATTAATTCGCCTGCTTTTTTTCACGCCATGCCCTGCCCGGCACCACCAGTGTTTCCACCCTCAGTTGCCGCCGGATCTAAAAATGGCAATGATTTTCACAGTGATTGTGAGGTCTGACAACTGAGGTTGCTCATTTTGAGCTCTCCTGGTCACAGATTTTTTCTCATGACTTCTGTACCAA